TATTGTAGCAACAACTGCTCTGGAATCTAATGTTGAGGACAACTGTTACACAAACGTTTGAATCTCTTCCAATACTCATGCAATGTTTCACTATAGCCTTGGCGGATTCCGCTGATATCTTTTCTAATGTTTGCTGCACGCGATGCTGGAAAGAATTGCTCCAAAAACTGCCTCTTCAACTCACCCCAAGTAGTGATAGAATTGGGTGGCAAATCATAGAGCCAACAATTGGCATCACCCTCCAATGAAAATGGAAAGGCTTGTAATTGAACCCTCTCCTCAGTAACTCCTTCTTTTTTAACATTTTTGCATACTGCTTGGAATGCCTTCAAGTGTTTGTGAGGGTCTTCACCTGCAAGACCATGAAACTTAGGCAATATATGAATTATACCAGGTTTAAGTTCAAAAGGTACTATAGTTGCAGGCAAAACGATGCACAATGATTGTTGATCAACATTTGGAGTTGCCAACTCTATCAAAGTTAAATTTTCAGCCATTTCTTCTCCTTCAGATTCTTCTTCGAATTCAGATGAAAATTCTTCAGAAATGGAAGGTTCCTCTTCTTCTCCTTCTTGATAAGCTCTAGTAGGTTTAGATGTGAGACCTAAAAGTAACCTTTCCTGCTTCTTCGCCGCCTTGATAGCTCTAGCTGTCTTCTCTATTTCTGCGTCAAAGACAAGTTCACCTGTACGAATAGAGCGCGGCATAAACTAGAACAAAAATAAAATAACAAAATGTAAAAGAAACAAATCAATTATCACTGTTCCCCGGCAACGGCGCCATTTTGGTGGGGTGTCAAGCCAACAAACAATTTTACCTATTTCCAAACTAATGTAGTACAGGAAAGTAAGGTTGTCTCCTCAGGGAATGGTGAATTTCTCTCTTTTAAATCAAGTAACCAAAAGGGGGAGGGGGGTTTTGAGTTGCTGAAATAAATTGCAAACAATAGCTAAAATGATTCAAACAAATAATGAGAAAATATCTAGCTCAAGGGTTTGTATATCCACCTTGATTTAAACAGTTGATCATAGATGCAATGATATTATCATTAACTTATGAGTAGATTAGTTTTCATTGTTGGAACCTCCAAACAATTTAATCTTTCATTTAGTTCAATGATTAAGAAACCTTCATTAATCATATACTAGTCGAAAACTAATCTTGGAACCTCCAAAGATTTAGAAAACTACTACATTAAACACATAGACCCAATCCCAATTCCTATAAAACAAACCTTGTTTTATATTAAACCAGATTACTTGTTCTTATAACATAAATAATTACTTACCAAGTAATTAAATTATATTATACCCTATTTAAACAACAAACCTTGTTGTTTTATTGGTTTTAGATTATTAAGAAGCACCAAATGCTACCAGCTATTCATGAATCCACAATAATCATATCAATCATGCCATAGAATAAGCAATTACTCACAAGAAATTCAGAGAGAAACAACATTTAAATCTCACAACTGTTCAAACCAAGACTTCAATACCCTTCAACCAGATGAATGAATTTAGCTACTCATCATGAAAACTGAATCACAAGAAAAATTCATTGAACAATATTACCGATTGATGTCTATGAACTTGGAAGACTCCAAAAAATGAAGAAAGTGCCTTTGAAATCTCCTTAAAAGTGGAAAACTACGTCTATTTTTATTCTACTACCTACCACTCTTTCAAAATGAAAAGAAAAGTCTATTTATATTCAGAATATAGGTCAGCCGCAGCAGCCCTCTCAGAAATCCGCAGCAGAAAATTAACTTTTCCGAGATTTGCATATTGGTCCCTTAAATTTGGCAAAATTACATTTGACGCCAAAACTTTTTTAATTTTTCATTTTAGTCCCTATTTCGGTTTGGCCAAACGAGAATGCAGCTTCAATGCTGGAATTTCTTCTCTAAAGCTCAATTTTGGACTGAGATTCGTGTGCCCAGATGAGACTGTGATGTCATTGCTCCTTCTTGTGCTTCCTTGTCAAAATGCTCCAAAAATGTGTGTTTATGAAACATTTTGCTCCATCTCATCTCTAAGGACTCCTAGGAACAAAAAACATCAAAATACATAATATAAGTGCACAATCTAATCCAAAATACTATACAAATACCCATAAATAATATGAAACTTCAAGACCTATCACATATATGCTCAACCGAAAACATGGCAGCCAGCTATAGAAGCCCCAAATGTAATTCTCTTTCTCTGGGCATGATTCTCCTCATAATCATCCTCGTCATAGTCATCTTGTGAACTTCTTTTCATATTATTCTCATCTCCTTCTGAAAGCCGAGCGCAATGAGCACCGTATAGCTCAGGATCTGGCTACGAACACATTTCATCATAATATGCAAATGACAATGTTTATACATCCACCACTGTTTGTTCATTATTTTTAAAGCCTTCAAAAAATGGGCTGAAATCGTTTAGCCGTTTCAATATATTCTCCTCGTCCCAAAATTTTATTTATTGTACTATTTAATTTGCCCAATAAGACACTTTCTTTTAAATTGAGTATTTTATTTGAACAATTATTTCAAAATGGATAACTTGTCTGGGATTTGGGGGCAAAACAAATTAATTTGGACTGAAGTTTTAATCAGAGCATTATTTGCTGCAAAGTATTTGTGGAGATTAAACGAGCATACCGCGAATCAAATTTTAAAGGCCAATTATTTAGCGTTCTTGTTTCGGCTAGTCCTGCTGGATTTTTGAGATTGGACTGGTCTTAATTGCTAGATTGCACACAATTGATGACCGCCAATAAAATTTAAGTCAGTAAATAAAATACGATTTTCTTTTTGTAATTCTAGGAAATCAGCCATCCTATACAAGTCTGGGATAATAACTTCTCATAAAATCGGGAATTCATTTATGGATGTATTATAATAAACGCTCTAGAAGTGCAAATGGACAAGCATACTGACGCCACTCATTATTGTTGGAGTAGAGCATTGAACTCTTAAGAGTAAAAGGTAATTAAAATATTATTTAATTAGAGTTTATCCACGTAATGTATTAATTTGTATCATTCCTTTGTACCCAAAAATATGTAAATAAATAAAAAGTACAAAAATCACCTAGCCAATGAAATTACGAAACTTGACGTTTTTTGTGTTACCTTTGCGTTATTTAAGTTCTACATGTAAATTGATCTCTTCTTTGAGATCTGTTTACCGTAAAGAACGTTTTTTGGACTTTGTCTTTTGTGAACCTTATGATTTCGTAATTAATTGATGATGTTGAACTTTTTCTTCCCGATTTTATACATAATTAAACTTTGATCATGTCCATTTCTTTCTTTTTCTGAAATGTTAAGGTGATGTAACGTGTTTTTCAAAGTTTTCCTTTTAGACAACATACATCATATGCAAGTGTAGCAAGTGGAAGATGAAAGAAAAATCAAAAACTTTTATTTAACCACCCAAAGCCCTGCCATCACACCATCCTTATCTTCTTTCATCCCAAAAAAAACAAAAAAAACAAAAGAGAGAGAGAACCGTCACAGTCTTCCTATAGCTATTAAATTTTTTAGAATATATCAATTATCATGGCTGAAATCCAAATGGTGACTATAGCAATGGTAGTTTTTGAGCTTCTTTTTGGTGTTTCTGGTTTGAATGGTTACTCAGCTGATGACTATTCACCAGTCATGGTTGCGGTGTACACGACAAGGCCAATATAGGGCGAAAACTGTTAATGTGTACAATTAGATGCTCAAATTTTCCAGTTTGCATATGCTAATTGTCTGTCCCTTTGTTTTAATTTATTTCGGTTCTTCCGATCAGATTTTTGAGAATCAATCTACATGTATATCGATCCACTCTTTGATGTTCGTTTACCTTAAAGAACGTTCTAAATTTTGTCACTATGAACCTTATGTTTCGTAATTCATGATATTGAGCTTTCTCTTTCCCATTTTATGCATATAATCTTTGATCATTTCCATTTCTCATCTTTTTCTCATATGTTAACGTAATGTAACGTGTTTCTCAAAGTTCTACCATTTAGACAACATGCATCATGAGTAAGTGTAATTAACAAGTGGAACCTAAAAAAATCAGAAATTTTTACGTCACCACTCAAGCGAAATCGCCTATAAAATACAGCCCAAAGTCCTACCATCAAACCATCCTTACCTTCTTATTTCAAACCAACAAAAAACCGAGAAAAAACAAAAGATTAGAAAAAAGAAACAAGAGAAGCTTCACAATATTCATATAGCCATTTCATTTTGATAATATATCAATTATCATGGCGGAAATCCAAACGGTGACGATAGCTTTGGTAGCTTTTGTGCTTCTTTTGGGTGTTTTCGGTGTGGATGGTAACTCAGCTGACATTTCACCACCCATGGTTGCAGCGTACAACAAGGCCAATATCGGGCGCAAACTGCTACAAGTGTGCTCAAATGGATGCTCAAATTATCCGATTTGCATATGCTAATCGTCGTTTCCTGTCTTTTTAGTTTTTTTGGTCCTTCCGATCAAATTTCTGGGAATAAATCTACATGTATATAATTGATCTCTCTTTGAGATTTGCTTACCGTAAAGAGTTTTTCTAAACTTTTTCGGTTGTGAAACTTATGGTCAATCTATATTCTACTACATTTCAGAATAGGAATCTCTTAAACTGCATGGGTGCATGAGAGTTTTACATGACTAACCACTATTGCTGGACTCAAATGGTTCTAGGTTTTTGGGGTGTCGAAGCATTTAACCTTCCACAACGAAAGATTGCGGAATTCTTAATGAAATTAAAGAAGAAAACCGCATAGGAGCATTGCGGTTTTCATCAATTTTGTTATAAAAAAAAAAAAAAAAAGTTTAAACGCCAAAATTGGCATGAAATTTGAAAGTAAAATAAAAAATAATAATAAACGAAAACCGCAATCCTACATTGCCGTTTTGATAGTTAAATTTTTTTGAAAAAAATAATAATTTCATAATGACAAAATAGGCATCAAAATTTCAATGTTTAAATCCATAAAACGCAAACATGGGTTTCAGAAATACTAACACCGCAGGTACCTTTTGCGGTTTTCTTTCTTATCCAGAAAATCTGACCAAGCATTGTGGTTATGACATGTGGCGGATAAGTTGATTAAAATTTAATAGAACATCAATCCTCATATGCGGAATTTGAAAAAATATCTACCAAAGCAAAACGTTAACCGGCATTCGTTGATTCTCGTTTATGTGATTTTCGGTTTTGGAAGCTCCCAATCAGAGATGCACAATTCTGGCAAAAGTAATGCCAAATTTGAAGGAAGAATTGTCGTTTGAATTATTTTGGTGAGTTTCTACTTTTCTCCATTTGAATAATGTTTAGATTTCCACCCTTTATTGTGTAGATAGTTGGATTGATGTTTTATTTTAGAATTGGGGATCAAGTTGAGTTTGACGTCATGGTGGCCAACTCATACATGCAAAGGTGGTGATCTCATGACAAAGGCAGCTGGAGAGTCTGATTCATCATTTGTAATCCTTATCTCTAATTAGATTACTAAAATGTTCATCAAGCAATCAGCATTAGTATTTAATCAGTGATGTACGAAAGGCTTAAAAAATATGGAGAATATTATACTCTAATTATTCCCCCAAATTCTACCTCTCTTTCCTATCTTCTTCCTCTATCTTGTCTTTTTTTTTTCTTTCTTTATTCATTTACCGTCCCCACCATTCACTTCTTATCGTTTCTCAGGTAGAGTACAATTTTTATATATAGAATTTGCTATTAAAAACATCATTGCGTTACATGTTTATTCATTATTTTTAAAGCCTTCGAAAAATGGGATGAAATCGTTTAGCCGTTTCAATATACTCTCCTTGTCCCAAAATTTTATTTATTGTACTATTTAATTTTCCCAATAAGATACTTTCTTTTAAATTGAGTATTTTATTTGAACAATTATTTCAAAATGGATAACTTGTCTGGGATTTGGAGGCAAAACAAATTAATTTTAACTGAAGTTTTAATGAGAGCATTATTTGCTGCAAAGTATTTGTGGAGATTAAACAAGCATACCGCGAATCAAATTTTTAAGGCCAATTATTTAGCGTTCTTGTTTCGACTAGTCCTGCTGGATTTTTGAGATTGGACTGGTCTTAATTGCTAGATTTCACACAATTGATGATCGCCAATAAAATTTAAGTCGTAAATAAAATACGATTTTCTTTTTGTAATTCCAGGAAATCAGTCATCCTATACAAGTCTGGGATAATAACTTCTCATAAAATCGGGAGTTCATTTATGGATGTATTATAATAAACGCTCTAGAAGTGCAGATGGACAAGTATACAGACGCAACTCATTATTGTTGGAGTAGAGGATTGAAATCTTAAAAGTAAGAGAATTAAAATATTATTTAATTAGAGTTTATCCACGTAATGTATTGATTTGTATCATTCCTTTGTACCCAAAAATATGTAAATAAATAAAAAGTACAAAAATCACCTAGCCAATGAAATTACGAAACTTGACGTTTTTTGTGTTACCTTTGCGTTATTTAAGTTCTACATGTATATTGATCTCTTCTTTGAGACCTGTTTACCGTAAAGAACGTTTTTTGGACTTTGTCTTTTGTGAACCTTATGATTTCGTAATTAATTGATGATGTTGAACTTTTTCTTTCCGATTTTATACATAATTAAACTTTGATCATGTCCATTTCTTTCTTTTTCTGAAATGTTAAGGTGATGTAATGTGTTTTTCAAAGTTCTCCTTTTAGATTTCCACCCTTTATTGTGTAGATGATTGGATTGATGTTTTATTTGAGAATTGTGAGATGGATGATATAATTTACATGTGTGAAATGGATGAATTGGTTAAATATATGTATTTTAGAGATGAATCTGTGGTTGAATTATGTCTAGACTTTATTTTGGGTATGAAAACGGGATTAGAATATAGATTCGATTGTTAAAATAGTTAAATTGTGATGATTATTGTTTGTTTAATTGTAAAAAAATGACAAATTTGGATTTTCAAAATATTATTATTAGATAGATAATTTATTTAATTTTAATAAATTATTTTTATTTTATGGATGTGTAGATGATAAATTGAAGTAAATGAGACAAATGTGTAGAAGAGTTACATTAGAGTGTATTCAGTATTATTTTGGGTGCATTGAAATGAAAAAAAAAATATTTTTAATTTCATGTATGTCTTATAGCAACATTATTAGTAATTAAATTGTTGGATATGAGCAGCATTTTCTGCTTGAAATTGTAAAATCTTGCTGCAAATTTCTATATTTATATGTAGGATATAGTTTAATGTTGGGATTTAATTATACCATCTGCACGGTATTGAAAATGTCTTTCACCGATTCATTTAGTCTGAATGTGTACTAGACTAGTGGTATTGAGATTGTAAATGGAGTTGTTGTTGTGAACAACAGAATGGCAGACTAAACAATATTTATTGACCGCAAGCTAAATTACACAGAACTCGTGGACAAGGTCTGTAGAGCTGCTCGTTTTGATGAGGGAAGGGTGACAGCCAGTTTTGTTTTAGTGTAAACAGATACTTCCAGTAAAAGGAGGTATATGCATATTCATGTCAACGAGGATATGATGTTGATATACCTAGTCTCGCATAATTGGCCTGAATTGTACTTTTGTGTTGCACCGACCAGGGGGTTAATCATACAAGTTCATCTGGACAATCTACTGGTGCAGGTACAAGTGGTGCGGGTACAAGTCGTGTTGGTCAAAATGAAGACAATGATGAAGAAGAGGGTGAAGACGAAGGCAGGTTTCATGCTGGCAATGACGATGCATACGTTTTCTCGGGTGAGTCCTTTGATGAAGAAGATGGCAATGACAGTAGTGCAGCTGTTATTCTTAGATTTCAGGCTTATGAGACTTACGCTGACATAAGTGGATGGGATAAGCTTTTTGTGGAGAATGATTGCTCCAAAAATATGGGACGGTGTCATGGATCATATTAAGGTAGGGGGTGCATTTCTTGTGCAAGGACGATGCACGATACGCTATGGCCGAATGGTACACGGATCGAGGTACAACTTACATCATTGTTAAATCCGATAGATCAACATGGTGTGTTAAATGCGTGACATCATCTCCAAGTATTCTCAAGAGCGTTTTGGCGGCATTCTATGTAATTGGTGGGTACGGGTGACGAAGTAGGGTGATACTGACTTTGAGAAATTGGTGATATGGTTGGATTCCCACACATGTCCTGACGAAAAAAACAAGAAAGACAGCCAAAACGTCACATCGTCATTGATTGCTCAACAATATTTTCATTTTTAAGTCAAAATTTTACTAAAATTTTGAACGGAATAACAATTTTAGGACTGAAGGAGTACTTTTTTTGGTCTATACTTTTTCAATCAAAGATTTTCTCCCTTTTATTAATTTCAAGTATATATATTACGTTTCTAAGACGTTTCTTAGGATTGAATCACCAAGTTCAAAAACGCGAGCAAAGTTAGAAAAACATGTGAAGGACAATTTGCAAATTAATTACTCAATAGGTTATTTGACAATTTCGAAAGAGACGATCATTCCACAAAGCTTCAAGTGCATACAATTATGCCCTTTCATGTAATAATCAGATTTCCGTCTAATTCATGTGGATTATTTTTTGGAACAAAGGGAGCAAAATTTTACGTGAGAGCAACATAAACAATTCAAATTTCTTCCTCTTTTTCATCAAGGCAACAACTTAATTAGCACGTACAAAGAACTTGATGAGGTGTGACATTAAGGTTTTATTTGTTGTCATTTTCTTATTAATTACGGGTATTTTGGTAGTTTTATATTAGCCGTGATTAGGGTTAATTTTGTTTTTTCTTGTTAATAGAACCAGCCGCGTACTAGTATGCTGTTGGATGTTATATCAAATTCAGAGTTCATCTCTCTTTCCAAAATTCACAAGATTGAATTTTGATGTCTTATTGATGGGTATTTTCATAATCAACAGATTTAGGAAATTTTTAAAACCGAGTATTCTCATAATCAACAGTTTTAACAAAGTTACTGGTTATTTTTCTTTGATTCATCCTATTGATAGGTTTTAACTACGTCAGAACTTGCATCGGAATAATTACAGAAAATAGATATGTAATTTAAGAGTAGTAATATATGCAGGAAAAATATATAAGAAAAACTTGCAAAATATATAATGTATCATTCCCTGTTAAAACTCCTTCTAAAATTTTCTCACATAAATTATTATCTTTAATTTAAAACAGAAGTGGTGATGATTAAAACAATTATACATAGTGCAAATAAACGTGGGAACAAAACAAAAGCTAGCAAATATATGAAGACCTTGGCCTATATTGATCACTTCAATTTGACACTTCTTAGACATCAAAAGAAAAGGGACAAAACCCCTTTCCCCTTGGCTCTTTTAGTTAATAAACTTGATTTGGTCCTATTAATAATATTTAATTAATTTGGTTAGACCATTAATATTATATAAGATAGTCCACTTGATAGAATTGTCAAAAAAGATTAAAAAAAAAGTGTTAGAAGAATCTTAAAAAACATCAATGTACGTAAAATTATCTACTTGAAATATCCAAAGAAATATTTAGATTCTGTTTTGTTGAGATTTATCTTATTTTCGTTTTTTATTTGGATATAAGAGAAAATTTAAGCGATTTGAATGGAAAATTGAAAAATTGTTTCGGAGTTATTTAAAGTAAGAAAATATTTTTTCCAATCACCGGACCGCCTCAAATTATTACTGAACTATTGAATCATTACTAAACCCGTTATTAAACTATTCAAAAATATTAATTTTGGCCACCAAACTATTACAAATTCTTTAGTTTGGTCACTGAACTATTTTAATTTCATAAATATTCACTACACTAGAATAATGTTTAGGTTAAAATTTAAAATGCAAATTGAAAAGTTATGCGGATTAGTTATCTGTTTTGTATTAGCATTTGTGTTTAAGAGATGGATTGAATTTTTTTTAAAGTTTGAGTGGTTGGACAAACTAAAGCCTACGTTGATCAATACCAGTTGCCTTGTCGTGGCAGGGCCATGTACCACCGACCGCAGGCCAATATTACCGTCACTTTTCCGGAATTTTGACCGGATGATGGACGACAACTTTTCCCTTAACTATAATACAGAGGTTCATCATTCAAGAGCAAAAAATTCCATACTCTAGTTCCCCTTCATTAGTACTTGGACTGGGATCTTCTAATTAAACTCATTGCTTATAGGACATTAGGAAAAAAGCTAAAGGGATAAAAGAAAATTGAAATTAGTCCTACAATGAAGCTGACCACCATAACCATGTAAAATATTATACCAAATATAATAATAGAGGGGAAAAACAGGCAATAGCACAGGATGAGATTTTAGGCAGACGTGTATTAATGCATCTGAGATTTGACCATTTGAATATGGGTAGATCATTTGGTCGATATCACGTACTCCCCACAGCTATATCAATAATCACTTTGACAACCATACCATTCATGTGACAAGATAATTTTATAGGAGATCAATATCAGTAATTCAGGTTTCTTCCTTTTCTCATTGATGCAATAACTTACCACGGAGAATATGCACATGAACCACCTGTTATCAGTATCATTCTCCTCACATACCATAAATGGATATAGAATAGTTAGAGGAGATAGGACCAGACAATGTTTCACAATTCATCTTAAATAGTCCGATTCCATGGCAAAAACATCAAACAACAATGACTTGGGCTCGTTTAGCTCTATAAGACATAGATCTCCGCCAAACACTCCAAACAAAGATAATTTTTGGCCAATTAAATAACCATGGCTTCTAGATCTTCAGGCAAAGTAAAGGCGACCTCAGGAAGTCAAACATTTTTGGCTTACCATAACAAATTTTTGACATAAAAGGCATACATAAAGGCATGCAGTGAACCACCTTGAGTGAGTGGTTGATCACTATCAACAGCAACATTAACATACCTAGTATATTCCCAACCAAATTAGAGAATGGGTGGATCAGTTGGATGTAGCCTTATCTTTATAGTTATACAAAGAGACTATTTCCATTATGACTCAAGGTACATTGAGTCATTTGATATACCTAATGGAAGAAGCATTGGAATTTAAGTGTACCATTAGAATTGTCAATAATGACTCTTCCAGCTCTAACTTTAAGTAAATCATCCCTAGCCCAATGAAAATCTCCATTCCATAAAATTCCCTTCCTCAAAAGGGAACTAAATCAAAGTATATCCAGTGCTCGACAATGAAATTTCACACATTGGTCAGGGTACACCAATAACGCAGATCAGGGTAATGAAGAACATTTAGACAGTTAACTTTTATCACCACTACTAACCACCACGACAATAAAACTTCTAACCGCAGTACAATACAGAGCATCATTAGAGAGAAGTTTTCCTTACCAGTTCCAGGTGCAACAGAACAGAGAAACAGAGGTCTCTTAATCTAATTAAATGCTCCAGCCCATGAAGGAAAAAGCTAATGGCAAACAACAATTAAAAAAAAAAAAAAGAGAGATCAAAAAAAGGGCAAGCAAGCTAAGAGCAACATACACAACAATTTCTAACCACATGACCCAAAAAATGATCATAATACACACAAAAGAAATGCCAATAGCACAGAATCATAACTTATACAGGGGCCAGAGTCTCAACATGTTCAAGTGCCTCTAACCATCTGAACCTGGGTAGATCCTTCTGTTCGTATCTAGTACTCTCGAGAACTACATCAGCGATCTCCTTCACAATCATGCCATTCATGTCGCAAGATATAGTTTTACCCGGAAGTGATATCAGCAATTTGGGTTTCTCCCTTTCCTCGTCAACACAATAACTTAGCACAGAGAATTTATATCGAAACCAGTCATTATAACGATCTCTCTCCTCAAGGACCATCGACGGATATAAATTACTCAGAGGGGATAGGTCTAGAGAATATCTCACATTCCATCTTAAATAGTCCAACTCCATCGCAAACACATCAAACAACAATGACATAGGCTCCTTCAGCGTGATAAGACATATATCTCCACACCAGACCCCGAAAAAGATAACTTTCGGACGGTATTCACGAAATGGTGGACCTTCTGGAATACAAACATTGACCTCGGGAAGTCTAGCCATGATTCACTTCTCAAGACCGTTTTCGATATCAAGGCATAAAGTGAACCCTTGCGAAGTAGCCCAATGAAGTCTCTGTTCCATAATACTCCTTTCCAATAAACAATTCCTAAAATAAGATCAAAGGTACAGTTGGTATCCAACCATTTCCCAGTCTCGGAGGCATATATGGCTACTCTAAACCACCAATCATCACACCAAACGTACACCACCCTATAGTGATCAGATTTCAAAGGATCATAAGCAATATTCAAATCCACATAATTTTGAATAGCATGAGGGCAAATCATCCGATAAGCGTACTTGGTAGATCGATCAGGAAAATAATTATACCAAACACAGAGTTGGGGCAGAAGTCTACGGCGACAAGTAGTCGGGTTATAAACATAAAAATACAAAACCCTAGCAGCATTCTCTAGAGCAAGTACCACTAACCCATTGCATGTATGAAATCCCAACATTCTATAACCGACAAAGGAATTCTTCAAGAGAGAGACAGTGTTACCCATTGAGCTAACATATTCTCGGCGAGGAGAAACGAAATTCAGCTCCCGGTCATCATCCATTCGCAGGCACAGAAAGTGCGCACCAGTACGCCCCCGGAAATGAAGACGCCAGAAAGAAGGGTCGGATAGATTGAATGCCATTTTCGGGAGACGGATTGGAACCGAACGAGGGACTTTGCCGGCAACCAAATAAAGATCAGTGTCAAGAGATTTTCGTTCTCGGCTATAGCATTTGCCGATATTGTTGTGAGCGGGGTTTAGGGGTTTGATTCAGACTTTCATGGAAATCGGAATTCAAGGGTGAGGGGCGGATGGATTTGGGAGGTTGGGTGTGTAAAATTAGGGTTTCATTCGCCATAGATTTGGGGATTGAGAATGTTTGGGATTTTGGGGAAGAATATATTATAGAATTATTTACCTAAATATGTCCAGGAAAGAAGTAGTGGACTGAAATAAGCACATAGGGAGTGATCAGAAAAAATATGTGCCGAAAAAGAAATTTATGTTTTTCTATGAACTGTTCATAAAATGAATTTACGAAATCCGTCTCTTTAGGATTAGATGTAATTAGGATTTGATAATTACTTTGATTAATAAAAACGGATTAAACATTTCCGTTTTTGTTTTAGTAAATTTTTATTTAAGGAAATGGAAAAAAAATTTGTGAAGTAAATATTTTTTGGAAATAAAAAACGAAAAATCAAAATCCGTTTTTGTTTAAAATTAATAGAAAATTAAAAACGGATGTCTGATTTCCGTTTTTAAGACAGTAGACATAAAAAAAAATAGAACTGGCCTGCTTTGCCAATCCTGTTAAAAAGACAAAAACAGAATACAGACCAGAAGGCAAACAACACCAAGACAGCAGCATCAACATAAACCCTAAACTCACACATCAATTGAACAAAATAATGTAATTGTAACAAATTTAAATAAAAAACTACATCAACAAAAGTTCCAACATTCATCAAAAGAGGTAAATAACAAAATGAAAGCATTATTCCTCCTCTAGGGGTGGCTTGGCTTGGGCCGTAGATGGCGTGTAGCGGTTGACTTTCTTTATCTTTCTACGCGCCCTTCCTAACGCCAAAGGTAGAGTAGTTTGCTTCAATGGCAGTGTAACATCCACATCCATACTTGTAGGTTCACCTCCTTGGTTTGCTTCGGCTTTATTTTAGGGGGTTGGAATTTGAAACAAATTGGCATTGAGTTCAAAATCATATTCTTCTTCTTCTTCTTCTTCTTCTTCTTCTTCTTCCATAATTTTCTTCCTGCCTCCTCTAATCCCACGGTGAGGAATGTTTCACTTTCGAACTTTGCCAACCGGTTGAGAAGGTTGTGGTTGAATATCAACAAGCGATTGGGTGGGTTTCAAAATTGGCAACTCATGTACTCCAAGGGATAAAGCACTCATAGCATGAGCAGCGAGTTCAAGAAGGAGATCCATACAAACTGAATTTTGGCACCTCTCTTTTGATTTCTGGTAGTCATCTACCTTTGTGTAGACGTCGCTCAAAGCATCAGCTTAAAATCAATTTAACCATTAAAAAACAAAAAAAAAAAAAACAGAATACATTAAACTAAGGAAGCAACTAGCATGCTACATTTAGTAACCAGAATGCAGTTCAAAAAAACTGAACCTAATGCAAGCATGAAAATTCAGAATATAAACTAAAAAACAGAACCAGAAGGCTAAAAAGTATAAAAATTCAGAATATAAACCAAAAATAAAAAACAGAACAAAAACCCTAAAAAAAGGAATACTTACATAGAATTTTGCGCGATCTGAATGCTCACGATACCCTTTCTCCTGAAAGTTGTGCTTATTGGGATCCTTGATAAATTTGATGGTATTGGTGTCATACCATGGGAGATAATCTTCATCGGTTGAGGATTGACCACTAACTGGAGATCCAGCCGCAATGGTATCCGCCCTTTTGTCCCATTTGGCGATGTATTCACGATGATGATGCTCCTAGTAAGCCCCAGGTATTCCAGTCCTACCATGCCGGTGCAACTTTTCCCATACATCGAAACCAGCAATCATTGATTGTGGTGGGATCGACTGTTTCAAGCCAAATTATCGCATGACACGGTCAATCTGATGCGGTTCAACGATCTCTCAGCAAATTAACCAAGTGTTTGATCGCCAATGATCCCGACCCAGTGTACATCTTTCAGGTATCTCCACTCCTTCATAAGGTTGCCAAATAAACTGAAATACAAAACAGAACATAATAAATTTAACCAAAAAAAAGCCAAAGAGAACATAATACAAAAGGAATCAAAGTCAAAATTTGTTAACAAAAGCTTTCAGCAAAAAATCAAAAAGTCCAGATTATATAAATAAAAAAATAGGACCAGAATGTATTAAAAAGTATTAAAAATCAGAATATAAAATAAAAAAAAAAACAGAATCTAAAAAATCAGGGTTTACAACTAGTTTAGAACCTAAAATAGAACCTAAAAGGAACCTAAACAACACTTAAACAGAACCTAAAGAATCAGGGTATACAACTAGTTTATTTAGAACCTAAAAATAGAACCTAAACGAAACCTAAATAAAACCTAAACCTAAACAATACATAAGCTTTCAGCAATAAATAAAAAAAAAAATCTAGCTTATATAATAAAATTAAAAAGGACAGAATATTCTATAAAATTATTAAAAATTAATCAAATGTAGACATAGAAACTCTTATATCTTCAGCCTTCCTAAGGCTCGCGAGTTGATCTCGGTGTGCTGGGAGACAGTGGGAGGCCACCTGTGAAAAATCCAATGAACACCTCCACTTTGAACCTAAGGCCAATTTGTTATCGTCATCTTCCGGGTTTTCCTCCTGGGGCGTATCCTTGGGATTCGCTCATATGCCCAAATCTGTAAGCGTAACACATGTTAGGTTAAAATGAACACAAATTATAAATAAAAGGAAAATATAAAATAAATACAATTCAAAATCGAGTTATACCTGCAAAAGAATTAGGCATCCACCTATATCCAATTTTGTCCTTTTTGATGCTTTACAAAGATTATTATACAACACCACAAGACATGCACTCCCCCAACTTAACTTTCTACAAGACTTAAAATCCTTCAGTAAGGGCAAATAAAGCAAAGGCACAGTGTTGCCCGTTGAGTCCAGAAATAGTGAACCTCCAATTGCCCACAAAACAAAAACCCGAGCCCTTCTCTAGCATGCATCATCTGAGGCATCTGCTTGAAGTTGTCGCTTACACTCATCTTGCAGCGAAGAGATTATAAGTTGGTTGGCCCCTTTTTTTCAATTTGGGTGTGAAGCCCAAAAGCTCCTTGCACATTAGGACCCAACTAGCTGGTGGCAAATCTTGGCCAGTTACAGGTTTTCCATCAATTCTCAGTCGCAAAAGAACTTTGACATCTTGGAGCGTAATTGTTGCTTCCCTCATTGGATAGTGAAATGTATGAGTTTCGGGCCGCCATCTTTCAACCAAGGCTGTCACAAGGGAGTTGTCTAATCGGATGAGACCCGTCTCGAGGAAGTATCCAAAACCCATTTGAGACACATAACATTTAACTGCGTCAATGCTCATTGCGTACAGCTCCCAAACCAGATTATCAGTTCGGCGACACTTAGGGTGTTCAGTCATGAATTTCAGCTCACTGTTCCAAACGGCATCAGGTCGATGATCACCCTGAAGGTAAAGAAGCTTGGGCTCGATCGGACCCTTATTTGTGAATTTTTGGGCTTGCGACGAAAAGGAACTAGCGATATTTCTGTTAAAAAACAAAAACCAAAGAACCAAAATATTTAGAAAAAACACAACCAGAATGCAGTTTAAAAAACATAACTAGAATGCATTGTAAAAAAAGAACCAGAATGCAGTTCAATCAGAATGCATTTCTCAGCATAAACAGCCTAAACAGCACCAAATTTAAGGCCTAAACAGAACCCTAAACATAATTGGTGGATTAACATTAAAATCAAATTTCCAGATACACATCAAGGAAGTAGGCAAACAGTGAAGGCAATTCAGAGCTAAGGCATATTATCAAAAGGGAATAACCCTAAAACAGAACCAGATTTATCACATATGAATCAGTTAACTTATTAATAAAACTTTTTTCAAGTTTTCGACCCAAACGTTGCAGAATACGTACAGTATTGATAAATCACTCACTGGAGTGTTTGCATTATAAATTAAGTAGGGAGTAACATAGGGCATAACTTGGAAGCGAGCAGCGTCAAAGCACCGGAGAAGAAGCGGTAGAGGCGATGGACTTCTGGGTCAAGAATGCTTCGAGACGGGCATTGGAGTCTCAGATGATTCAACACCGGAGGTGGATTCAAGTACGGAGCCTAATCGAGGTCGACCAGCAGAATCGAAAAAAAAAAAACTTAGGGCTCTGATTAGGATGGTGACCAGCGAGAATTGAAGGAATTTTGACCGCATTGCCGGCTTGAATTGACGGAGACCAATGGACTGTGGCCGGCGGAAAATTAGGGCACCAGGGCGGAG